TGTAGTTCAGACTGGCCTTGAATTCACTATGTTGCCTAGGCTGGCCTCGAACTCCCAGCAATCCTCCTGTTTCGGCCTTCCCAGTGCGAAGATTACAGGCATGTACCATCACACCCGTCCTATTTTATTTTTTGAAGACAGTGCCTCGCTATTTTGCTGAAGCTAATCTAGGATGCCTGGGTTCCAGTGATTCTCATGTCAGTCTCCCAAGTCACTGGAATTACAGGTCTTCACCACCACGCCCCCTATTAGACAGATAGGTCTTTAAATGCACATCAGTAACAAGTGTGGTAGCACAGCCTCTACTCCTAGCTTTTTTTTTTGGTACCAGGGATCAAACTCAGGATCTTGCACTTTCGAGGCAGGCAGGCAGCACCACTGAACTAAATCCCTGGCCCATACTCCCAGCATTTTGGGAAGCTGAAACAGGAGGATAGCAAGTTCGAACTGAATATGGGCAACATAACAGCCTAGTGAGACCTTGTCTCAAAATAATAAAAAGGACTGAGGAAGTAGCTCAGTGCAAAGGCACTAGGTTCAATCCCCAGTACCCCATAACCACATACACTGTATTTCTCACAGTCTTTCTTCAGTTTAAGACATATTTACTTGAGCTATAGGATATATAACAAGTGTGAGCCAGGTCTGGTGATACACACCTGTAATCACAGCTCTCTGGGAGACTGAGACAGGAGAATTGCAAGTTCAAGCCCAGTCTGGACAATTTGGCAACTTAGACCCTATACTGAAAGAAAAAAAGTATGACTGTGAAAAACAGATTTAAAAACAAATACAACCAGCATTTGTTCGGCATTTAACATCTGTTAACTCACTAATCAGAGCCAAAGTACAGAGGGAACTGGAATGGCCCACCAGTACTCAAGAGCTCAGTACTTCTGAGATCTATGACTATGTCTTCCAGAGAGGTGAAGAATCTTGTTTCATTTCATAGGATTGAGCGAGGAGGCTGTCTTCTGTGACGGGAGGTAAGAGCAGATCAGAAGGGGGACGAGGAAGTCAGCCATGCCAGTGTGGGTGTGCTCGGCATGCAGGCCTGGGTGAGGGAGCAGTGTGCACCTGCTACCGGGGCCCCCAGTCACCGCCCAACTGTTTGAGGCCAGACCCCAATGTCTGCTTCCCCTCGAGGCAGCTGCAGCGCTTGTCTTCCTGTCCCATTCTCCCATTCCCGTGTCCCCACCCTGCCTGAGATTCCACCCAGCTCCATCTTTGCAACCAGATGACTGTCCATAGCGGGTGGTTCCTAGTGGGTGGCTCCTGGGGGCCGGGGACACACACCCAACACAAGCAGGCTCTCTCTTCAGGCAGCCGATTAAATAAAGGTGGCCACGCCGCGTCCTTACTTCGGAGGTAACTTTTATGTTTTCAGTAATGGGGATGGAACCCAAGGCCTTGCATATGCTAGGCACGTGCTCTACCACTGAGCTGCATTCCCAGCCCTATTTTCTCTCTCTCTCTCTCTCTCTCTGTCTTTTTCCTTTCTTCTCCTCTCTCTCTTTCTTCTTCCCCCCACCCAGAGCCTTTACACTGAGCTATATTTCCAACCCTTTTTCTTTTTTGAGACAGGATCTCACTAGGCTGCAAATTTGCCTGCATTGGATTCAAATTTGTGATTCTCCTGCTTCAGCCTCCCAGAGTGCTGAGATTATATCCCGGCCCTATTTTTATTTTTTTTATTTTATTTTTTTATTGAGTGGTTAAATAGGAAGCACTAACTTAGCACTTCTATGCTAAAATGACTCTTTCCTTATTCTTGTGACCAAAGGACCTATTTTCTTTTTCTAACAAACATCTTGAGAGAGTAGTCTGTTGCTACTTCCTCATTTCATCTCATCCTCAGTTGACCATTTTACTTGTATCTTCTGAACTTAACTCCGTGCCCTTCCTTGCAGAGGTCTCTAGCATCTTCCTTGTTGATAAATCTCAGATTTTCCTATTATTACTCAACCAGACTTCCAACCTCCTCTCCCTGGCCCACTCCCTCCAGGATTTTTCTCACCCTGCCTTCTCAGAGTTCAATTTCCTGATTCTCCTCCTCCTGTGGCCCTTGTGTTTCTCACTGTCTACACTTCTATATGCACCTCTCATTTCTCCTGTGTGACACCTGAGAGGTCCCATGTCGTTACTGAAGCTCAATCTGTCTTCCTTGTAGTCAGTACAAATCACAGGACACAAACTCTGGCGTGAACATTTCCAAATTTAAAATCTGCGTACTTGAAAACCTAAACACTTTGGGGGGGGGGCGTTGGGGAGAGAGAGAGAGAGAGGGAGAGAGAGAGAGAGAGAGGGAGAACCTAAGCATTTGAAACTCCAAAGCTTTGTCTGATTTTCTGCTGTGATATTCTCCACTGGGGTACCAAATGCCACTATGTGACACGCAGGGAAGGCACATAGCATGGAGATGATGGCGGTACTCTGCCCGCTTTGTGGAGACGAGGTGGTGGTGGGAAGTCTGAGTAATCTCTGCCATACGTTTTGCATCCAACATCCATTCCATACCAAGTGGTGAGCTCAAGCCAATCAGAAGCTCTCTCCTGGCAAGAGTTATTGGTCAGGGAGCAACTGTTTTAGCTAAATAACCTAAATGGAGGGATTAATATCTCCTATCTTGGAGGAGATTTTTCTCTTTCCTCTACTGGATGTGAATAGGAAAGCATTAGCTAGTAGATTCTGGCAGCCATTTTGGGGTCATGAGGCCCAAGGCACACAAGCCTTCCACACAGAAAGGCTAAGCAGAGCCAAGGACAGAGCCAGAGTCCTTGATGACATCATTGAACTGCTGAATCAGTTCATAACAGAGCCCACCCCTACTTCTGGCTCCTTGTTAAATGAAACATTTCCTTTTTTTTTTTTTTTTTGAGGTTATCTGTTACTTGTAATAGAATACATTCTTATAGAGTCTGTATCTGACATGTCTAGTGACACCTGAACTTCAGACTTAGGGCTTCAGCTGCCTACCATCCCTTCCTCTTAGATGTTCCACAATGTCTCACATCCCTAAGTCTAAAAGAGACTTTGCTGTCTCAGCCTCCCTCCCCTTGCTCCAGTTTCCCCTCTTTTTTTTATTTTTTGGTACCAGAGATTGAACTCAGGACCCTGTGCTTGCAAAGCAGGTGGTGGCACCACTGAGCTCAATCCCCAGCCCCTCCTGTTTCCCCTCTTTCTGCGAGGACACCACCGTCCCTCCTCCTGGGGGCCCAGACGTTTCTCAAATCCCTCTCCTGCTGCCCTGCCCACCATCATCTCTCTTTCCAAATCTTTCTGCATGTTACCAGAATAACCTTTCTTTTATTAATTTTTATTGTTATTAGCACCTGTTTACAGTACAGAATGTACTGTACACATCTTACGTCTTTTTACCCCCTCCCCGGAAACCTTTCTAAAATGAAAACAGGGTGTGGTGGTGCACACCTGTAGGAAGCTGAGGCAGGAGGATTGCAAGTTTCAGTCCAGTCTGAGCAACTTAGTGACTTAACAAAATCCCATCTCAAAATAAAAAATAAAAAAGGTCTGGGGATGTAGCCCAGTATGAAGGCTCTGGGTTCAGTTCTCAGTACGAAAACAAAGAAACAAAACCCTAAGCAGATCAGAATACTTCACCCTCCTGGTGGAAACCCTTACATTTCTTTCTCTTTTCCTTATGACAAATTCTGGATGCCTTAATAAGGCCTACTAAGCCCTCCACAGCAGGCCACTTTCTTCTTCCAGTCTCAACAGTGTCCCTCCCCTATACTTTCCTCCAGCTTTCTAGATTACCTCCAGTCCCCACTTGCCCTCTCACAGCCTGGAAATTTACTACCTAGAGAAGTCGCCTCCTCTCTCCAATTCTACCAGCTGCTGCTCATTCTCCAGGGCTCGATGTGATGTCACCTCCAGAGCAAACCTGATCCCCTCCAAGATGGGTTAGCAGCTCCTCCCATTATATCGCTCTCTGCTTTCCCAGACACAGTGCCCACCACAGGCTGGCATGTTATCTATCTCTTCACCCCACACAGGAGCTCCTGAGAGCAGAGACTCTGACTTATTTCTTGAACCTAGTGTCCTCATTGAATGGGGAAGGAAGTGTTAAATCCAAAAGCGGATTTGGTCTTGAGGGTAAAGGTCAGATGGAATGGAGTTGGGGGCAGCATGGAAATGGACATTTTAAGCAAGCAGTATGGGACTGGTGATGGTAGCAATTGGATTTGGTGTCTACGTATACTGAATAGATTTGGGTAGATGGCAGGCCAAGGCCAGAGATGGAAACCTTTGATGTTAGCTTATATAACCCAGACAAGAGATGATGGTGGGCTGGACTGGGGTGGTAGTAGTGGGGAGGGGGAGAACTACGTAATCTTTGAGACAGGGTCTTTCTCTGTAGTCCAGGCAGGCCATGAACTCACAGCAATCCTCTTGCCTCAGCCTCCCAAGTGCTGGGATCACAGGTGGGCACCACCACACCTGCGTGAGAACTACACAATCTTGAAAGAGAAGTAAGAAGCACATGGTGGTGAGAGGCTGGGATATAGCTCAGTGGTAAAGCCCTTGCCTAGTATGCGTGAGGCCCTGGGTTTGAACCCTAGGACAGAAGAAAGAGAAGGAAGGGAGAATTGGGAGCAAGTAAAGAAAAGAAATGCATAAGCGTGTAAGATGGGTGGATTCTAATTGGACAAGAGGGGTCCCACTGGCACATTCTTCAGGAGTGGGAATCCGGAAGGAAAATCATGATTGCAGATGGAGAGAGGGTAAGGAGCTCAGTTTGGGACATGCTGAGTTAGAGTGCGCTACGGGACACCCAGCAGACAGCTGGACATTCAGTCCTGGCTGCAAAGGGAACAGAAGGCAGAACAAAGGGACGGGTAGGAGAAAACCTAGCAGGGAAAAAAGAAGTCACAGATGCCTGCAAGAGTAAGTGATAGAGACAAAGGGAAAGCACTGCTGGCGCTCTGAGCCCCAGCCCCAGCCCCAGCCCCAGACACAAACCCACCAGACAAGTTTCTCTCCACAGCAGTTTTATTTGACTTCAAATCGAACCTCAGACCCTGGCCCACCCTACAGATCAAGGGATCATGGCCACAGCAGACTTGTCCTGGGAGTTACAGTCCTCTTTATTGGGGAACAAAGGAAAGCATATAGGTCACATCTGTGTGTTAGAGTAGGGAGGGGGCTGGCTACTTGGCCATGGGCCAGGGAGGGGGGCCTGGTGCCATCCCCTAGACACATGCAGTGGGAGGGAAGGGAGACCAATTCAGAATGGGTGAGAGGCTTTGGGCTTACAGTAGGCCTAGGGCAACCAAGGGATTCAGTAGCTGTGAGTAGACTTGTCCAGCTCACTGTGCTGTTCCTTTTGAGACTCCGTCACAACCTGCTGGGGGCAAGGAATATGAGAGGCTGATGTTTCAGCACCGCCCTCCTTGGGCCCACCTGCCTGGCATAATCAGCTGAGGCTCCAATTTATCCACCCACCTGCTCTGGTTTCCCACCCAACCACAGCACACTAAGATCGGCAGCCAGGCTGGATCTCGGGAACAACGTGGCAAAAAGTGGAGTCCCAGGACAGGGGCCTCACCTCTCCATCCCGGGTCTCTATGGTCCTAATCAGAACCATCTTCCGGCTGTGGCTGTCCTGGGCTGGCTCCACCTCAGGCACTGGAGAAAGCAGCACGAGGGGTGGAAGAGAAAAGACTTGGGATATCTTTTCTTTTGGGCACCCACTCCCCGAGGGCAGCCATAGGCAGAGGGAGAGGAGTGGGGTCAGATATAGACCAGGACTCAGTAGTTCCCTGGAGAGAACGGATGGCTGAGCAGAGTCATCGAGAAGAGTTCAACCAGGGCAGAAATGGACAAGGGGAGTAGAGGCTGGAAGCCAGACGTGGAGAACTCACCAGACGTCTTTATACTTAAGGAGGCAAAGGAATGGACGGGCACGGAGATCCTGCAGGCAATGTGCTGCCGTCAGCCTTCCTGCCAGGGCACCCCCTCTCCTCCACCCCCAGGGCCAACCTCTCCCTGCCTCGCCCCAGCAGCCCCGACCCCCACCGGCTCTCCTCGCCCTCTAGCAGCTTCCGGTAGGTGGCGATCTCGATGTCCAGGGCCATCTTGACGTTGAGGAGTTCCTGGTACTCGCGCAGATGCCGAGCCATCTCCTCCTTGAGCTGGCGCAGCTCCTCCTCGAGCCGCGCGGCGCCGGCCTGGTACCCGCCCGCCTCCAGGGCGAACTGCTCCTCCAGCTCCCGCAGCTGCCGGAGCAGAGCCTCGTTCTGGGGGGCGGGACGGGGTCAGGCCGAGAAGCCGGCCTCCTCTGCGCCGCAGCCCCGGGGCGCTGCTGGGTGCTCACCGTGCCGCGCAGCCCATCCACCTCGCACGTCAGACTCTGGATCTGCCGTCGAGACTCGTTCATCTCCTGCTTGGCCTGGCGCAGGGCCTCGTGGTTCCGGTTGGCGGCATCCGAGAGGTCCGCGTACTGCGGAGGGGGTCACTCAGGATAGAACGGGATGGACGCGACCCCCCGCAGCCCGGCGCCCGCCCTCCCGGGCCCTGTCTCGGGCCCCCCTCGGGGCCACACCTTGGACTTGTACCACTCCTCGGCCTCCTGCAGGTTCTTCGCCGCGATGCTCTCGTATTGCGCGCGGATGTCCCTCAGCGCCGCCGTCAGCTCTGGCTTCACAGTCGACTCGACCTCCACGTGCTGCACCTGCTGACTCTCCACGCTCACCTGCAGGTCTTGAAGCTCCTGCCAGCCAGGGCAGGCAAAGGAGAGCCCACCGCGGGACAGACGGCGGAAAACCCACGCGGCCGCGCAGAAAGGCGAAGAAATAAATAAAAAGGAAAAAAGAAAGAAAGGCGAAGAAATGCTTGCGTGGATAACAAGAGGCGCGCGGCACTGCGCGAACCGCGCCCAAATCAGCGCTCAGCCGGCCCGCAGGTCCGGGGTGCAGCTCCGCTGTCTGCCAACAGGTGGCGCAGGGGTGGGAATTAAACCACCTGTAAGGCCCGGGCCCGCGGCTTCGTCCACCCCCAGAAGCTTTCACATCCCGGGGCGCTTCTGCTGCTCCACCCACCCGTCTTCCGGGCTCTCCGGAACTGAGGCCACTCCCCAGCCTTCCAGGCCTCTCCTGACACCCAAGTCTACTCACCTCATCATGCAGCTTCTTGAGAAACTCAATTTCATCCATCAGGGACTCAATCTTGCGCTCCAGTTCCAGACGGGACAGGGTGGCGTCGTCCACATCCTTCGTAGGGTGGGAGCGGGGGTCGAGAGCGGGAAGGGCAGTCAGGACGAGGCCAGGGCGGGCCGGGCCGCGCCTTCCTTCTCTGCCTCAGGATGCGCCCACCGATGCACACCAGGGCTGAGGTAGGAGGCAGAACTCCACATGGGGCCGGGACTCACCTTACGGAAGAGCACGAGGTTGTGCTCCGCATCCTCCCGCTTGCGAGTTTCCTCCTCCAGCCTGGGGAGCAGAGGGGGCAGAGACGAAGCTGCGGGTCACCACCCAGAACCCCGCCCCCAGGACCCACTATTGTGCCGCCCAGGGTTCTAAGGGAGGGCTTCAGGCTGACTGGTGGAATGTCCTGACTTTCTAACGGGCGGGAACCTGAGAAGCGGGTCCTCCTGATACCCAGGGGGAGACAAGAGAGCCTTCCTGCACCTCCCCAAATGCTCAAGTCCAAGTGCTGGGCGGAGGCTCGGCGTCCACGGGCGACGATGCAACCCGCACCCACTCGGGTTGGCCCCAGGAGCCACGACCTTGGGCTCTGGGGAGGCGGGGAGGCTGCAGCCGCCGCCTGGACGGACCGGTGGCCGGATGGCTGCAGCCCAGCCCCAGCTCTGACCTCTGCTTGAGCGCCGCCAGGTCCTCGGCCAGCCCGTCGCGCTCCACTTGCACCCGGTCGCGCTCGCGGCCCAGCAGCTCCAGCTCCCGCCGCAGCTCACGCAGCTCCTGCTGGCACAGCTGGTCGGCGCGCGCCGGCTCCTGGCCCCGGGCCTGGCTCAGCTCGCCGCGCAGGGCCGCGTTCTGCTGCTCCAGGAAGCGCACCTTCTCGATGAAGTTGGCGAAGCGGTCGTTGAGCTCCTGTAGCTCCTGCTTCTCGTTGCTGCGCGTGGCCAGGAACTCCTGGTTGAGGGCCTCGGCCATGGAGAAGTCGAGGCGCTCTGAGGGCAGGCGCAGGACCCCCGCCCGAGGGGCGCGGAAGCTGCCCAGGCGCACGGAGGAGCTCGGGGACGCCGACCCCAGCAGGCGGCTGCCGGAGAAGCGCGAGCTGGACGAGTAGGAGAAGGCCCCGGGGGACAGGGAGGGCGGGGGCCCGAAGGTGCGGCGGTACGAGGTGGCGCTCACGCTGGCCCGGAGGCCCGACGGGTGGTGGCTCATGTTGGCCGGCCGAGGACGAGGACAGCGGTCTGCGCTGGAAGGGCTGGGCCGGGGCGCGAAGGAGCCCCGGACGCTGCGAGGGGCTTTATAGCCTTGCGGTCTCGGGGTGGGGGTGGGGTGGGGGCCAGACAGCTCCTCCTCCTGGCCTGAGGCGGGCTGGAGCCCGGCTGCTTGGGGAGGGGGGCGCCCCACCCTGCGGACCGCAGCGGCACCGCTCCCTCCCCTCCCCGGTTGCTGGCGCCGGGCCACAAGGTTCCCGGCAGGAATGGAAGCAGGGATGCGACCAGTGGCAGGGGTGACTTACGGCGCCTTCCAGCAACCATCCAAAACTGGGGCCGGGACCCGGGACCAGAGGGCTTGACTGGAGCTGGGGTCCCTGCCTGGAAGAGCTGGTAGAGATTAGGGGAATAGGAGAGTTTGAGGTTAAGGGCAAGCTTCTAGCACTTGACTTGGGAGGCCTGGCGAAAGATCGCTGGCCCAGCCTAGGCCCCAGAACTTCTGCCTCCCCTTGTCTCACGAAGCCGGGGCTGTCACCTGCTATCAGCTACCCCCTCCTTCACCACACACCCAGGAGAAGTGGGCGACAGGAGGGCAGAGGCAGAAGGGGCTGGCAAATGGCTGGTCTCTCCCTGATCCCCAGGGCCCTCTGAAGAGCTGATGATGTAGAGCTGCCAGCTCTGCGCTAATGGACTGACCAGCTCCCCTCCCCCGGCCCCTGGGCCCCGGCAGAGGTTGCCTGCTGCTGTTTCTGCCTTAAAGACACAGCCCCCAGACCTGCATCTTCCCCAGGCCCCAAGAAAGAGAGTACCTCACAGGAGGCTGAAGGTGGCTGGCTCTGCTTCCACTTGGAGGGTCTGTGCCATGCCAGAGGCTGAGTGGGCTGCCGGTGGAATGCTGTCTGTCTTTACTGGATTCTTCCTCTCCCCCTTCCCCATCAACTGCTGCTCAGTCACGGGCCCTTCCGGGAGCCAGGGCGATTGCTGAGGTGGGGAGGGGAAGGGGGAAGCAGCTGCTGCCAAGGCGGAGAGGTGGACAAACTGGCGGTATTGAGGAGGTGCAGGTACCCAGGGATGAGTGGGGCTGGAGGGGGACAGAAGAGAAAGAGAAACTTAAGATGCCCGCTCCCAGCTGTCTGAAGGGGAGAGAAGGCCCCGGACAGGCCCACAGACAGAGGGACAGGCATAGCCCCATGACCTGTGTCACATCCACACATCCCTTCATGCCCCTCCACACTCTGAGTTAGCAGGAAGGCTGATGTCTGGCCTTTGCATGTGACACAGCTTCCAGAGTGCAGGCACAGGGCAGACAGAGCTTTTTCCAGGGGTCTGCAGGAGCTGGCGCTGAGGCCTGTTGGGTTTGCCAGGAGCCAAGAGGCTGCCGCTGCTAGGAACTTCGAGGCTCTCAGCCCACTTCAGATTAGCCCTGAAGGCAGTTGGGCATCTGGGGAAGCAATTTTGGGGCTCCAGGCTGGATCCCGGGCTGGGGTGAGGAGGGTGGCTCCCTGGCTGGCCAGCTCCTCTGTTCCGCAAGGACAGAATGCCCTCCTCCTTTGTGTGTCCTCCGAGATGGGCCAGAGCCAGTGGCTTGCCTGCTCACATCCCTGCGCCTTCTTCTCTTCTCCAGGCCCCGCCTTCCTTCCAGGCTATTAGTCTCTCTGTGCACAGCTGCCAGGTCCTTCTCCTGGATGGGCCTGGCTTGGTTGCCAGGGGAATGGGTATGGGATGAATGAACCAGGGCAGTTCCGGAAGCTTAGAGTTCTGTCTGGGCTGGGGGCGAGGGGATTGGCAGGTGCCAAGAGGAGGCTGTGTGAGCCTTGGTGCTTTTTGCCGAAGCCCTGGGCTCTGAGCCCCAGACACTTCAGACTCCACCCCACCCTCCGGAGCAACTGGGAGCCAGCGCTGCACTACTGCACCAGAGGGGCGGTCAGGCCAGCCTGGGGAGGACCAGCTCCAGCTCCAGCTCCCAGCCCCCAGCTCATTGCCCAGATCTTCAGAGGAGAGGGGCCCGGAGAGCCCCTCAGCAGGGAGTGAAGAGGATGGGAGCCTAGATGGGGAGATGCCAGGCAGGGAAAGGCTCCTACCACTCAGGGGAGGAGCCAGGTCTGGGAGATCTTGGGGTAGGAAAAAAGGCATAGGCTCAGGCCCCATCCAGCTGCCCTGCTTCCCACTGGATCCTGCCATTCTCTGTGCTGGGGATTTAGGCTCTTGCTGTGTCAGTAGAATGGTGATAATTAGGGCTGTACTTCATAGTGTTGTTGGGAGGAGTAAGTGAAAAATATATGAGTTCTTTTGTTTGTTTTCTGAGACAGGGTCTCACTATGTAGTTCAAGCTGGCCTGGAAGTCACTGTGTAGTTCAGGCTGGCCTTGAACTTGGGGTGATCCTCCTGCCTCAGCCTCCTGCGTGCTGGGATTACAGACCTGCATCACCATGCTCGAGTGAAAAATATGTGTGTATACTTAGGACACATACTGTAAATGCTGAAAAATGTAACTTAGTTAGTTTTTTTTTTTTGTTGTACCACGGATTGAACTCAGGACCTTGCGCTTGCAAGGTGTAAGTTAGTTTTATTATTTTTGTGTGTGTGTGTGTGTGGTACTGGGGATTGATTTTTAATTTTTTTTTTGGTACTGGGGATTGAACTCAGGACCTTGCCCTTGCAAGGCAGGCAGCGGAACCACTGAGCTAAATCCCCGGCCCCTAATTTTTTTTTTTTTTAGATAGGGTCTTGCTAAGCCACTAAATTGCCCAGGCTGGGCTCAAATATGTGATACTCCTGCTTCAGCCTCCCAGAGCTTTGAGATTACAGGTGTGTGTCACTATGCCTAGTTTATTTTTAGTATTATTAATCTTCTAAGTGATATTGCCAGCCCCCAAGTGAAGTGAAGATCCGGGCCTCTTTTGCATTGCCCCATTTGTGGCAGAGAGCAGCCACTGGCAGGCTGATGGCTGGAGGGAAGGTAGCCTCATCCTGCCTTGTGTACTGGGACTCTGGACGTGGCTGCTCGACTTACTGAGCTGTGTTCAGGGAGTGGGAGGGGGTTGTAAGTGGCTCACCTTGGCTCGCCCCATTTTCTTTACCCGTAATGGGGCTGTTACTAATAGTGCCTGCTTCAGATTGTTGGAGGAGGGGTTACAACTCGAGCACTTAGAACCTGGCCCATCATGCAGGCTGTGTATTATCCAGCAGGATTATGACCCCTCCTTTCTCTGCCTCTCTCAGCTGCTCTGCTGAGAGCTTAGAGAGAAACTGGGTGCTTGCAAGGGTTTACAGGAAAGGCAAGCAGCAAGTTTAGGTTACTGGTGTGAATACTCCTAAATGGTGGGCCTTCGACCCCACCACTAACCACGCCTAACCATCGGGTTAGAGAGGTGCAGGCAACAGCTGGGGAGACTGGGAGAGTTCAGAGGTTGGCAGCTGGACTCCCCGGCAAGGTCAAAGGATGGTCATAGTGCAAAGAGCCAAAGGACTGCACTGAGAGGGCAGGGAGCAGATTTCGGGCAGCAGAATGCATGGATTTGTGAATTTGGAGCCAGAGTGTTTATGGATGATGAGGTTCTTAGGCTGTCTGATGGGTGAGGGCAGTTGGGCCTATGCTGGAACAGAGCAAAAGGTCACAGGAGAAGAGATCCATCCACCAGTCTGGGTACTGATCAGGTGTGTGTGACCCTGAGTGAGCCACTTGTCCTTGCTGCGCTTCCTCTTTTTCATCTGTAGAATGGGGGTAATGACTCCCTTCTAGTGTGTTTGGCTCACATAGCTGTTCAACTATGTTGGTTCCCTTTTTCTTTTTCCATGATCAAGAGGAAACAGGTACAGGGGAGCAAGGACATTTCCCTAATTGCTGATAACTAGGTGTCAGCTGGGCCCTGGCCAGCTGGTGTACACCCCCATTCCACATCTTGGGGACAGCACAGTCTCCTCCCTAAGATTCTTTTGCCAACCAGACCCAGACCAGTGGAGGGCACCTGTTGGTCTCATTTACTTGGGAGGCTGAGGCAGGAGGATCATCTGAGTGCAGGAATTTAAAACCAGCCTGGGGAGCATACTGGGACACCATTAAAAAAATAGATTTCTTTGCCTTCCTCAATTCTTCCTATCCATCCCTGCTGTCCCTGAATTAGCTCTTTTTACTTTGACTCTAAGTGTCACAGATGAGGGACTCAGCACTCTCCCTTGGATCTCTAGTTCCATTTCCCCTCACCCCCCTCTCTGGGGAAGACCTAAGGCTGGGCCGGACAAAATTGCCTGTCTGTGGCAGCACAGTGAGCCTTCTCTCCGAGGCCAGGCCCCGGGGAGGGGGCTGCTATGGGACCCAAGGGGAGGCTCAGGTAGAAATCTGGCTTGTCTCTTTTCCAGGCACACACTCCAGCCCAGTATGGCCACAGGGTCCCTGCTCACAAAATGACCTCAGACTGAAGTCCTTTCTCCACTGCCTCCAGTCTGGGCTCTGATACTCCCATTTCGGGGGTACCTGGGACATCTTTGCATCCTAGTTTTTCCCTTGCTGGAGCCTTTGTTTTTGTTTTTTTGTGGTTTTTTTTCGTATCGGGGATCGAACTTGGGACCTTGCGCTTGCGAGGCAGGCGGCAGAACCACTGAGCTAAATCCCCAGCCCTGGCGCCTTTGTTTAGCAATAGCTGAAACTTCCCATGTGCCAAGTACCAGGCCAAGCATTTAACATATTTACACATTTAATTGCTTCCAACCCTCAAGAACGTCTTACCACAATAGGTTCCAAAGCTAGTCTCATTTTACAGAATAAAATGGTAAGAAACTGAGTCACAAAGAGGTGAAGTAACTTTCCCTACGTCACAAAACTAGTAAACTAGTGATTTGTCTATGTCTGCCTCTCTTATCCCTGGCAATGTGATCTGTGAAGGTAGAAATTAGATCTTACTTGTCTTTATGTTGGTGGTGTCTAACTCCAGACCTAGGACAACTGTTTTCAAGGCACCTGAATCTCTCCGTGGTTGGTCTGTAAATAGAGATGTGTTGCTGCCATCTTCTGGTCAGAAACAAGAATGACATGCCTGCGGTCTACATCTACGCTAGTTGAGAGCAAAATTCTGGGGGCAGGAATGCTGGAATTTGGGGAACACTTCACAGTTACTTATCGTGATCTCTTTTTTTGAGACAGAGTCTCCCTGTGTAATTCAGGCTGGCCTTGAACTCACTCTGTAGCCCAGGCTGGCCTCGAACTTGCAGTGATCCTCCTGCCTCAACCTCCTGAGTGCTGGGATCACAGGTGTACGCCACCACACCAGGCTTTTCATGATCTC